TTAAAAATATACTTTTAAAGAGTAGATTTCAAATATAATAGAGATATGTCATTCTTCTAAAGATAATTCCGTTTAACTTCCAGGGCTTTAGGATCAGATACAGGAGGATCGACTAGAAATCCTGCTGCCCACTGTGGGCTTGTTGGTGTCAAACCAAGCTATGGCTTAGTTTCTCGTCATGGTCTCATTCCCCTGGTGAATTCAATGGACGTGCCAGGAATCTTAACCAGATATGTGGATGATGCAGCAATTGTGTTGGGTATTTTTATGATTCTATGTTGTTTGAAACAATTTCACTGTAAAACAATATCTGTCACTCATAAGTATTTCTCCTTACAGGTATACTGGCTGGACATGACCCCAAAGATTCTACCACAGTACAAGATCCTGTTAAACCATTCATGCTTCCCAGTTTAACAGATGTGAGCAAACTATGTATAGGAATTCCAAAGGTAAATTCTTCCTTTCATGACTTAACAGAAATATCGTCAAGTCAAATAGAGAGCACAGACTTGGAAAGCAGAATGATTGGGTTTGAATCCCTGCTCTGCCACTTTTATTAGCCGTGTGACTTGAGCATGTGACTTAATCTCTCTAAGTTCAATTTCCCCATCTGTAAAGTGGGGATAATAAAAATATCAACCTCAGAGATTTGTGAGGTAATGGTCATGTTAAGCAGGGGTCTGTAAACTTTTTCTGTAAAGGGCCAGATAGTAAATATTTTAGATTTTGTGGATCATACAGTCTTTATTATAACTACTTAACTCTGCCATTATAGTGAGAAAGCAGCCTTAGACAATATGTAAACAAAATAATGTGTCTGTGTTCTAATAAAACTTTATTTTCCAGGAAAGGTGGCTGGTTACATCCAGCCCATGGGCCATAGTTTGCCAGTCTCTTATGTAAAGGACTTAGCCCAGTCCCTTACCTTGCGTAGTAAGACTTCAATAAATGTTATCGTCTTTATTATTATTACTACCACTACAGCACATATTACTGTAGCAATTAAATAATTCATACATGAATGTAATCATGTTGAATTACTGACCTTTTAAAAATATTAAACTTAGCAATATATTAATGCTTTAAACATTTTAAAAATCTTTTAGAAAGATAAGTTACTGTGCAGAATAATGAGATTTCTCAGCCTCAGTGCTATTGGTCTTTTGGGTTGGATAATTGTTTGTGGGAGGAGACTGTCCTGTGGGTTGTAAGATGTTTAGTAGCCTCCCTGGCCTCTACCCCTGAATGCCAGTAGCACCCCCACCATCACCACAACCCCACAACCAAAAGGTCTACAAATATTGCCAAATGTGCCCTGGCTGGGACAAAAAGACAAATCGCCTCCAGGTGAGACCACTGCTGTAGAGAAATACTACTTTCTTTAAAATGTTTC